CCCCAAAACCCCAAAACCCCAAAACCCCGACAGGTAATTAAAGCCATTGATCATTAATCTATTATAAAATTATTAAATTCAAATTCAAATATGGGCAAAAACAAGAAGTCAAAGCAAAGTGGTCAAAACTAAGCAAAGAAGTAGAAGAAAGAGGAGGAGAAAAAGCACTCACACGATGCATCTTGCGGAGATGATCATGATCATGACCACAACCATGAGCAAGAAGAAGAAGTAAATGAGGGCCCTTAACTCACACCACAGGAAAAAGCTCAATAATACAAAGATATGTAGCTTTAGATCTACAACAACTTCTTGAAAGATTTTTAGGATGACGAAAAGACTCTCTTGATAGAACCAGCACATCATTTTGCAGAAAAACTAAGGGATAATGAGAAAAGAGAGAAGGAGGAATTCAAAAAGGTTGAGAAAATACTTAAAAAAGATGCGGGAGAAATTGAAGAGCTTTACTAAAATGTTTCTGCACAGTCAAGTAATGTTAACCAACTAAAAGCATTTAGAGACAGAATAGCCAAAACTATTACGGAGATTACTAAATAGCAAAAATCTAATGCTAAGTAGCAATAGATATGCAGCAACTAAGATTAACTAGTCAATAAAATGAAAAGTGAAATACAGTCAAGTATGAATAAAAAGAATATGCTCGCAAATCTGTGTAATGGTTTACTAGATAAGAATTATGATCTATATATGAAGCATGAATAAATGCTTGAAGATGAGAAGAAGCAAAGACAGGGTCTAGCTTCTTAATTCCAAGAGTAGATGTCAGAAGTGACTAAAGAGTTAGAGCAATAAAAACAAGCTAGAGGTCAAGAACTGAAGGAAAATCAGGAGATAAGATCAAAGATATAGAAAGCAATCACTGATTATAAAGTAAAGGAGGAGGATTATAGATCAAAGATGGAAAGCCATGGTAAAATTATATAGGAGATAGAGAAGAAACTAAAGCATACTATTGACGGAAGCATTAATAAAACTGTCAAAGAAGCTGAATAAGAGAAGACAAAATTCTAAAAGTCCTGCAATAACGTGGCAGAGTTATCAAATAAGATCAATGACTTTATGCAGAAGTTTGATAAGATCAAGGATGAGATGAGTGAAAACGGAAAGAAGTTTGAACATTATCAGATGAGCGTTGAGACTAAAAAGCTTGAGATGTAAGCTGTTGAGACTGAAATTCAAAACATATTGCTTTCCGAGTAAAAGATCCATAAATTTATGAAGGAAGGTGAAGAAGAGAAAAAGAGGTTATCTGCGCAGATTGACGCTCTTAGAAATCTTAAGGATGCCTTGCTGGTATAATTGAATAACCTAGAGGATCAACAGAGTGAGAAGGAAAATTCTGCAAATATCACAAATTCTACTGCAACTGAGTGATTAATTCGCATGAAGGATTATTTTGAGGTAATTTGTTACATACACATACATTGCAACTCTTTATATTAATGAGGAAGTTTAATTCATTTACTCAATTCATCACATATTTGTTAATAATGCTAAGGGGTTTTGGGGTTTTGGGGTTTTGGGG